AACAGCACTGTTTTTATCAAGTTAAGTTTTTAGCTTATATTTTTAATTTAGTGCTTTTACCTATCAAATAATGAACAAGATAAGTTAAAATAAAGTCAAAGAAACTTAGATAAAGTTAGTAAGTTAGTTAGGCATAAGCACTAAAGTGTAACACAACTTTGTTTTGTTTTAGATATAAAATTATTATCTCTAACTTTTAGATCAGGAAGGGCGTGCAAAAGTTAGAAATTATTTCACTAGTAAATCTTTTTTATTTTATCAGAGAGCTAGCTCAATTTTAACCTAATATAAGACCAAGAATAAGAGTCTCAATCGAAATCTAAGAGTAATAAAGTAAAGATACATTTACTCTTTGGTACAGTCTAAATAATGTTTAATTATATATACGTTTATGATAATAATTTATCCTTTAATAAAGGTATATGGTTTAATTGCATCTTTTTGTCAGCTCTTTATATATAAGGACTTCATTAAAAAGCGCCACTACTTAGTTTTAACTTATTCAAAATTAACGAGTTTTATAAGGGTACATATAAGGCCTAGTTGTATTAGTAATATTCACTCTTTTTTCTTTATCGCATTCTTTCTTCAAAAACATTATTAAAAAGCGCTGAAATTTACATTTAACTTATTTAAAATAAATGAGTACTGTAATAGGGTAACTCTATATTTGTAAACCATTTAAGCTACAAATATGCAGTTGAAGGCTAACCATACAAAGTACAACACCAACAAAAAATTATAAGGGGGTGTACACTTCGCTCTCTTTCTTTTTTTTACATTTTGTAACTATGCCTGTCGGGCAGCTTAAGAGTGATCGTATATATTACTACAACGCTTTTAAGCTTATATTTCTTTGTAATAAATTGTACAATATATTACTTTAATCTGTTTATGGAATATTAGCTTTTAAAGTTTAAAAACCAGTAAGATCCACATTTATGAAAAACAGTTGGAGGGTAGACCCCATTAATGTTAAAAGGCTCCTCGGCGCAGTTGTCGTAATTATTCCTATTATGTTAACGATGCGGTGATAAATGCATTATAGAATATGTAAAAATTTATTCATCAATTAAGTATTTAAGTTTGACTTAACCTCAACCTTAATAATTACTATTAAATAATAGGGCGGGATTACTTTAAAGTTTTTACGGATATTCAGTGGTTTATAAACTTTATGTAGATAGTTGCTGGTGCTCAAACCCTTATAGGTTCTGGTTACTATGTTTATCACTTGTCACCTAGTTTCATTTTCAACATAGAGAAATGATTTCGCAGAAAAAAATAATTCTATTTTAAGCCCAGAGTTTTGCCCGTTAAAGGGTTAAAGAAATAATCATCTAAGGCTGGTGTATAAGTCCGTAATTTGGCGCTCCAAAGGAAGCTTAAACTGTAGGCACGAGTGCGAGGCAGTCTAATAAAACTGTTTTTCTTCTATTAATGTTGCTTATATACAGTGCCAAAGATTAGTCGTAAAAAGTTACTCGAAAGGGAGTCGTACTAACGATTACGAATAAGCGTTATGATTTAAACAACTGTAAAATTTCGATTAATAATTGTCTTAATATTATTTATTTTTTCATGTACATAAAGCTATTTATTTTTTTTAAAAATACCAATTCGAAGCCGGGAGGTCTCCAATTAGTTTTATTCGGGATCGCCTCTCTGGACAGTCGTTGCGCTCCATCGGGAAAGTAGCACAGGTGGGTACCAACCCTCTTGAGTGTGGGATGCTGGCTGCGGCGAGGTAAAAAATATATTTAGGCTAATATAACAGTTAGATAGACAACGAAGAAATAACCATAATGTACTATTATTTTACTAAGTTGTCATCGAATGAGGAAGATAGATTTATTTTGGGTCAAGTAATTATATTCATTTTTCATCGACGAGCTAAAAGTATACCGCATGTTAGAAACCCCTAAGGTTTTGATAATACAATGGTTTTTTTTATAATACGGTTCTTCTGTTAAACCTCGAAACCAAGTAATCTCTTTTTTTAAGGTAACAGCTTTTATTTAGTAGTAAGGAGTACTTTTTTAAAAAAGAACAGTAAATTTTTTGTCGCAGAAAGAATTTTTGTGGAGTTCAAAAAATTTAAGTATTTAAACAAATAAAGAAATTTTTTTTTTCACTTTTTACTCCACCCTTGCAAGAGAGCTAAACTGACTCTATCGTGGCTACTTATCAAAATTTATTAAGATTTATTATCACAGGAAAAGTTTATTTTTCGAATTCGAATGACCGCTGTTTTTTGTATTGGTTTTTACTATTCTTAGTAGCAATGATGAATTTCATTAAACGCAATTAATAAATGAATGCCGTTAAGATATTTAATATAATAAGTAGCATTTCGTGTTTATACTTATTATTTGATTACTAAAAACTATTGTTCAAAGAAAAGTTTTTAAGGTTGCCAAAAAAAAATTTTTATATTAACTGTTTACGATTTGTGAAAATAACAACCCAAATAATGGCTAATTTACATGACCAGTATAAAGATTACCATATATGGAACAATAATGAATATTGATCTAATGCAATTTAAAGATTATAATTATTTCTCGAAAATAGATCCCCATATCCTGGAAATAGCTAATCTTACATTGGAGTATAAAAGGCAGTTGACAATGCGGGAGAGTGACAAGTTCTTGATATTCAGGGGGTTCCCTTAGTGCTTCTGCGCCTGGGTCTACTTGTCGATTGCCGAAGTGAACTGTTTCTATCTTGCTCTTCAGGGGTATATCTATTTAAATCTTTTAATTATTAATAAAATATATACTTTTTATTACTCTAAAAGCAATGTATTTTGGCAAATATAGTCCTAATACAATGTTAGATAGTAGTACATATTGCTTTTCTCGGTTTGTTTTTAAAAAGAGTTGTACTGTACAAGGAGGCCGTTTGTCGTAGTCGTGCAACGCAGAAAGATCGTTTGAAAAGTCTAAATGTTCTATATACGGTTATGCCTGAAGCTTTAAAGATTATCATGCCAGAAAGCAAGATTGATGCCCACCCTTGAACTTTTTAATGCTTAACTGAGAAAAGACTTTTTTTCTGCATAGTTACCTCATGCTGATCGAAGGGCTTAAAGTTTATATAGCTGTTAAATTCTTAGGGTTAAAACAGTATATGATAACAGTAAATAGTTCTGATACGGGAAATTTAATATTACTGAAATCCTTATTTCATGGATATCATTAGGTGCTTCATTCAACCCAGTTTTTGTCTCATCTTAAAAAAAAATTATATTTAGTAATCGTTAATATCAAATAATTACCCGTTTTACACAAAAGAACTAGAGAGTTGAGATCAATTGATTTGTAATTCAACTTAGGCAAGCTAGAAAAAATCAGCGGAGGAGCTACCAATATGATTAAGTATTAGAAAAAGCGCTTTGCGTTACAAATAAAAAATATGACGTTAAGTCTACTTTAGTGTTCGAGTGTCATATTACCAACACAACAGATGCTGATAATAAAAAGAGTTTATATATGAACTTTTTTAAATTTTATTAAGAAATAAGGGTAATCTACCAAACTTTAAAATAAAAACACCAGATAAATTAAAGAGACCGTTGCTTAATTTAAAAGAAGGGTACAAGGGCGCTGACTCTTTCGCTTTTAAAGTTGCGTCTGACTGTCAAGCAATACTTATCTTCATAGGTTTAAATATTGTCGAAAAATTAAAGTTTTGGGTTCTTGAGTACCGCCATTCGGTCTGGGATAGAAAAATTGCCAAAAATTACTTTGCACAATTTGGTGCCACAGGCTGAGAGAGAAACTTAGTGTTTCAATAAAAAAAATTTATTTAAGATTTATTTGATAATAGAGAGTTTACAAATGAAGGTACCAGAATGTTTTTATAACTATAAACTTACAGTTTTTAGTTATTAATGTGACTTTTACTTACTTGGTGGTGAGGAAGGTATGACATCAACCTGAAAAGAATAGCCGTCTACTTTTTTAAGTTTGTTTATAAATTAAAAAATTTTTTTAAAAGTCTTAACTTCAACATTAAGGGCCTATTATATATATTTAGTACGTAAGAACTAACAAGGTAATAAACATTTTTATAATAGGTTGATATTTTTTAAATTTCCGGCCAAATAATGCTAGTCCTAATATTTGGTAAAAAGTTTACCACCGCTAACATTAGAGATGATCAAGGTGTAGTTATACTTTTAAGGTTTGTGGTATTTAAATAAAATTACATATTATTTTAGGCATTTTACTTTTAAAAATATGTGGTATTCTAATTAAATACTTTAAGATTATATATATGTATTTACAGTAAAATTGAGATTTTTTTCCTTATCACCGACTGATACGCGATAAAGTTATTTTTTTGTAATGCCTAAGTGACATACGTTACTTACTTTTTTTTAAAGGAAGGTGTGGCAAGAGACGTCTTTTACCGCAATTCCAGATTATATTCAGCGTTAAAACTTTTTTTTATCGTTTTCTTATAATGGTAGTATTTTTATTAATATTACTCTCGATGATAGTTTTTAACTTAAAGATATGTTACTACTTTTTGAGTGAAACCACAAAGGCAACGGTATTAAGAAATCACGTATCTCTATATATTTTACCAAATATTTGCAATATTTTCACAGGCTTTATAGTCAATGACAACTTTTTAGTTGAGAGAAGAAATATATTCGAAAGTTTTAACTAATGTTGTTTTACTAGTCTTAAGTCCCAAATTAATATATATTGTAAACTATGCTATATTATAGTATAAACTAAGCACAGTAGTAATTCATCTGATAAAGTAATAAGTTATAAAATAACTATAAGAACGACGTGCTAGCGCAGTTCCATATACACATAACATTCAGCCCCCGAGGATTAAGCCCTCGTGTAAAACTAGAGGACGAGCATTCACAAACTACAAAACCGCAAAGCGGGCTTACTATTACTATTTTTTTTAGTTTTTATATATTTTGTATTCATGCCAATTAATCTTGTTTTTTTTAGGCCCCTTTTACCATTAACCTTTCGTTTTATGACTTTTTTTATCTATACTTTACTTTGGTTCATTAAGTGAGTAATGCTACCTTATCGCATGCTTTTAGGTACCAGAGATATAAAAATTAACTTTTTTTAAAAAAAAAAAAAAAATATTAATTATGTTTAATTTAATATATTATACTAATTAGAAAGAGGAAGGATTTAGTTATAAAATTTATAATTTATTGACGCAATAGAAATTCCCCCTTTTTTTCAAGCACCTATTATTTTGGCTATATTTTTGTATTTGTTCGCTGGAAATTTGTACATTTTCAAAATTTATCAAATCAACTATACGACTGCCTTTGGCTTAACTTCTCGTATGTATTTAACACTTAAATATGAGTGCATCATATATGTATTATTAAAAACCAAAATAATTTTAAGTACTAATTCATAATTTTAAACTTACAGTAAACTTTTATGTTATACTCTTCCAGATAAAAATCATTTTTAAAATTGATCCTTAATATTTTAAACTTTTGACAAACTTTTTTTTGTTATACTTTTTATGTTATAAAAATTTTGATAATGGTTATTTCTTCAACTTCTGTGCTAAGATAACACGATTGGTGCCTTTAAGTTATTCAACGTCGCTACTATTTTCTGCGGCTTCTTTTTCCTTTGCTTATTTTTTTACACTCAATCTATTCTTGTGGATAAAAAAAGTCTTCTAGTCGACTTTTTTCCTTCCGTCTTCTACATTACCGTGTTAATTTCCTTCATACTTCCAACGGTAACTTTTTTTATTTTTAAAATTTACTTTTAATTTTTTCTTTTACCAATTGGTTTTTATCTTTAAGCGTGTTGTCATAATATGAATTTTATTGCATCGCTATTTTTTGACCTTAAACTCTTCATATTTGCTATAACTTACAATTTCATTTGTAAGTTTTAGTATAAATAATAGAGCGCGTCGATAGAAACTAAAATTCCTTTCAGGAAATTAGGTTGAAATTAAGGAAAAGAGAATACTTTTAACACTATGAAAAATGCTTTAAATTGATTCTAATTTTAATTCTTTACTTTAATTAAGGCGCACCTTGACTCATTATTAACTTTTATAGGCCCAAAGAGATCTAATAATTTTTTCTTAAAAATCTAGACATTTTAAGAATTTTAAGAGTTTACATTTACAATTTATAAAAATTCTAAGAATTGTGTCTAAATAATTTTTTTCATACAATTTCGTTATATAAGATTGCTCAGCATTAAATTAAATTTTTAATTTATTTCATATTTAACAATTCTTACATAATATTAGAATTTTTTTTACGGGCCCCAGCGGCGCTACTTTTTAGATTTACTGTGCAAGGTAGTTCCAATTCTTTTTCATACGGAATTATTTATATTGAAATTTTGCTCTGAACTTTTTATTATAGAAAATTTTATTTTTAACTAATTTTTTAAACTTTCAAAAAATTAATAAAATAAATTATTACTCCATTATTATTACTGATGGGTGGTTTTTAAATTTTTTTTTTTAAAGTTTAGTTTATATAATTATGTTCGTTTCCAAAATGAATTTTGGCTTTTTTTTTTTTGGATGTTTTTCAGTTTTTATTAAAAATTAAATGTTTTTATAAAAAGAATTTTTTCCAACTTTATGGTTACAATTTATAATGTTTTTTTAATTTATTTTGATATTTTCAGTTTTTATCTGATAATTTGATTTTATTATTATTGAAAGTAAATTATTTATTCTTTTTAATTTTTTTAGTTTATATCTAGTAATTATTGATAATATAATAAAAAATTAATTTATTCATCTTTTCGGTTATAACTTTTAATTTGATTTTTAGTTGTTTGGAAATTAAAATTTTTGTTTTAATAAAAAAATATTTTCTTTCGTTTGTGGTTACATTTTTAAATTTATTTTTTAGCAAATATTGAAATTTAATTCTTTCGTAATTCAAATTTGTTTGATTTATTTTTTTAAATTTTGTTATATAATTAACTTTATTATAACTTTATTTGCCAAATATTTATTAATTTCCCATGAAAAATATTTTGATTCTAATTAACTTTTTTGAATTTATTGCTTTAAATAATTAATTATAACTACTTGCAATTTTATGTTTTTTGTTACTATTATTAATTTATTTATCTTATTATTATTTATAATATTATAAATTATATTTAATTTCTTAACGTACAATAATTTAAATTTTTTTAGTTTTTTTTTTTTCTTCCAACTTTTCCTATTTAAAAGTTTTCATTTCGTGTTAAAAAAAATTGGTTTCTATTGAATTTATTAAATTATTTTTTTGTAAATTTTATTTTATTAAATCAAATTAATTCTGTAAACCATTTTTTTAATAAAGTAAATAATTTTTTTAATTTTCGATTTAAAGTTTATTTGAAGTTTTTTTTTAAAAAGTTTAAATAATAAAGTTTTTCGATTCCCTTTAATAAAAATTTAGTTTATAATTAACTTTTTTAAATTTTTTTTGGTAAAATTTTCTTTTTTTTTTTTTTTTTTAGACTTTTCATAACATTATAAAACTTTTTCAATACTTAAAAAGTAATTTTTTTCCTTCGAACTTTTTATTTTTGTAATAATTTATTTATTTATAAAATTTTATTTTTGTTTACCTAATTTTGAAATGGAATTGGTTTCTTTCTAAATGTTTTTTAATTTATTTTAAGACAGATTTAATTTCTAAATAGATTTTTTTAATTTAGTTATAACATTTTAAATAATTAAATTCACTAAACGATTTTTTTAAAAAATAAATTTTATTTGGGTAAATTTAAAAGCGTGATTTTTTTTACCCGAAAGTAAATAAAATTGATTTAATTTCTTTCAAAAAGTTTTTTAATTCCCTTCTTAAAAGATTTATGTTAAATTAAAACTAATTTAGTTTGATTATTATAAATTTTAATCATTTAATCTACTAAGTTAGTTGAAATATTTTTTTTGTATATTTTGAGACCAGAATTTTTTTTTTAAGAAAAGTAAATTAAAAATTTTTAACACATAAATTTAAAGTAGAACTAATTTGTTTCAAAAAGATTTTTCTTTTCTTCAAAAGAAATTAAATTTCTAATGAATTATTTTAAAATTAGTTTATAAATTTATATTAGATCCATCAAACTTTTTCCTATAATAAAACTAATTTTTTTTTTTTTAATATATAATTTTCAAAATAATTAATTTCTTTTCAAAGTTTTTTTTATTCTTTTCGCTAGAAATTAAATTTTTAAGTAAATTTCTTATTTCATTTTATAATTTAAAATAATTAATTCTACAAACATGAAATCAAATTTTCTTTTTTTATATATAATTTTGAGAAAGAAATAAAATTTCTGATTAAAACTTTTTTAATTTAACTTTTGTAATTTTAAAAATTTAATTCACTGAACATATTATTATAATTAATTTGTTATATAAATATATTATTTTGAAAATTAAATTAATTTCTTTAAGGTTTTTTTTCCTTTTCGACTTTCCATAACGTTTCAAGAAGTTTTTTTAGCGGACGGCCTCACTTCTCTCTCTAAAGTTCTGGCCGACTTGGAACTGATCATCTGCTCCATCTTCTCTCATCGGAAATTTTTTTTAATTAATTTTTTTTTTTCTAATTTTTATTTCAAAGATTTCAAATTAAGTTATTGTTTCATAAAATTCATATATATTTTATATTTTAAAACTTTTGTTTACAAGGTTTATTAAATTTCATATAAATTTTTTTTTTTTTTAGTCTTAACTCGAAATTTAATTGTTTAAAATTTCGTGTCTTATATTTCATATACACTTTATTATTTATTAATAATAAATCTGATTTACGAAATTTAATACTACTTGACTTATTAATTATTTTTAATTGTTTTCGATTCGTATAAATTGTATTGCGCCAAAAAATTGAATTGACAAATTTAATTGAATAAATGTTTATATATGAATTTTATTTTATGATAATAAGTTTTACTTTACAGAATTTTGGGAGTACATTTCTGATTCACAAACTCCAAAACCGCCACTTTTTATTCTAACTTTAAACTATTTCCTTTTTGTTAATAAATTTATCTAAACTGATTTTATTGTGAACTTAAAATTATTTTTTTTTTAAAAAATTTGTAGTGAATTCAATTTAATTTATTAGTATTTTATAATTATTTTTTTTGAAATGTACTTTTTATGCCTACTAATACTAACATTTAAAATTATTATTAAATTTAACATGGACTTACTAAATTTATGAAGGACCTTTAATAATTTAGAAATAAAATATTTATTATTCTAAATTATTGACTAACTAATTAACTTTCGTAAATTTAAACATTATTTGATTTTTTTTTTAGTAATAAATTTTAATAAGAAATAAATTTAGTTATAAAATTTTATATTTTTTAAAATTAATGAAACACTAATTTTAATCTACACTTAAAATTAGTAACGAATTATTATGATTTCTAAAATTATTAAATTTCTAATTAAATTTAAACAATTTTTAATTTGGTAATAAAATTATATATTTTTAAATTTAGTGGAAAACTAATCAATTTTAATACAATTTTATAATTAACAGAATTTATTATTATTTCTAATGTATTATTTAATTTATAAACTCTAATAAAAACGAATCTACATTTTTATAATTTCGTAATAAACTTTTATATTTATATGTAGTTTATTAAATATTTAATATTTTCTTGATCAAAACGATCAGACAATTTTATAAATTATTTTGAAAATCTTTTATTTAATTTTGCTAAAAGCGAATAAAACATTAACAATTTCGTACTAAAATTTTATAATATTTTAATTTATATAAAAAATATTAATAATACGATCAAATATTTTGTATTTTAGTAGAAGTTATATTAAAATTAGAAAATATTTTATTAACTTTTATGAAAAAGAATTAACTAATTTCTAATTTAGCCATTAAAACTTGAATTTTTTATTTCTTTTTTTTTAAAAACAGTAAATTAATAAAAAGAATTTACAATTTACTTTTAAAAATTTCTAAACTTGACTTTTTTTTCTCAATTTATTAATAACTATTAAATTAATTAAAGTTATTCTTTTTCAATATTTTCAGAAATTTTTTTATATTATTTTTTGTTTAGTTAAACTTTTATATATTTATGTTTTATTTTTTTGAAATTTACTATAAAAAAATATATAATGTAAATCTGAAAACTATTATAAACACATTTATAACTTTTTATTATTCAAATTTACTTAAAAAGTTGAGAAAAATTAAAATTTAATAATAAGAAATGTAAATTCACCAGAATATTTGAAAGAGCAATTTAATATTTTTTTTTACAGACAAAAAGAAGTCTACGACACAACACGTGGTTGCCTCCATTCCCTCATGACACCCGTCGTCCTATCGTTTCCTTTCCTTCTTCGCGTTATCCAATGCGGTTGGCTCTACAAGCTAACCGGTCAGAAGTTTCCTTATTTGGTCAATCTTCTCAAGTACGCCACTGGTTTCCCTTCATTATTGTGTTATATACTGTTGTCTTCATTATTTTCACCGAAGCGTTTCCGGCGATTTGGATTGGATACCTGATGCATTCTACTAATTCCCAGAAGAAACAATCACTATTGGTTGTTTGGTGGCTCTCGAGGTTTCGCTGCTATTGTTGATTACGATGTCATTATTATTATTGAAAACAAAAAGCATCGTCAACTCGGCTTGCACGTTTTTTTGGGACGTATTGATGGACTGGGGACTGGGCCAGGTCCGCTCGGGCAGGCACCTTTTCCTGCGGGGGCATCTCGTCTATCCAGTCATATGGTCACGTGCTAGAATGTTTTTTATTGGTTTGTTTCATGCCTGCAGGGCGGCACGCTTCGTATCATAACTGCTATATTGGTAGCCGCTAAGTTTAAAGCTGCCTGAACTCTGCTATTAGGTACTACGTAGCCATCGGGGCGGATTTTGTCCTGCGGTGCACATGGAGCCTGCAGCTGGCGTCTGCTGTTCACCTGAAAGGACAGGAGCTCACGCTGGTGCTGGAGGTCGCCGAGGTGTTCCGGAGGGCTATGTGGAACCTCTTCCGCGTGGAATGGTGACTTTTTTGGTGTTTCATTATTATTATTGTCAATGCATATGTTGGGGTTGAAGGTACCACGTGGAGAACAAACTTTATAGTTTACCAGAAAGAAGTGTTTGATAAAAAAATAAAAAAAATCTTGGAAACTTTCCTTTTTTATTAAAGTCAACTACTAAAGAAGTTTATAAAATAATGGTTGTTTCGTGAAACGAAAACGCGCAGGAAAGCGGGAATCCGGACAACTGCCGCATAGCACGTGGAAGGGAAAGAAATTGATTAGCCCTCAGTCGGATTCCTGGTCGTCGCGTGCTTCGCTGCTCTCCTCGTCGGCAGCCGGGGGAATGAAGGGCCGTTTGATGTCAAAGGCTTTTACTGCGGCCTGGACGGACGGGAGTAGTTAATGAGAGGAAGAATCATTTAGGCTGATACTTGGTGATATTTACCGTCCAATCGTTCATCGTAAAACTCCAAACAAGCTGGTTCCTTTCGGATGAAGTCTCGTGCTCAATACCAGGAGTAGCGGGCTCTAAAAAAGATAGTGGAGTTTTTTTGCCTATCACAACGCCATAGAAAAAAGGGCGACCAATCGTAGGCAAATTGGTATCTTTGTCCAATTGTATGGCCGCCCATCCGTCCTTCACCAGAAAGGAAAGATAGAAGATATTCTCGACGGTAGCTACGAACGAGAAGGGATTCATAATAAAGCGGAAAAGGCACATGGGCCTCCGCAGCCGCCGCAGGTACCTGCCATATACCGGCCAATAAGCATTGCGAACAATACACTACCAACCAATAGCTACACAAAGCCACTATACTTTGCGACTCGGGCCACTTCGCGAGTCGTCGCCTCTTCCTGGCCGCTCTCATTGCCGTCCTGCCACATGGTGAATTGCGACATAAACGAAACGCCGGTAGTTTCTACCGTAAATGGGCGGGCGTCTTCCTCGCTGGCGCTGGTCGTCCTGCCCGTCTGTCTTCTCTGGCGTGACTTTCCTTCCGGAACCACTTGGCTTAGCGCTCCCGAGCTGCAGCCCATGAGATCTTTATAGTCTCTTTTTCGTAATAAAAAAATATGCAAAATTAACATAAAATCAATTCTGGGCGGCCTCCCGCTAAAAAGCTCTTCAACGTGTTTTCCGAGAAAAGCCCATTCAAACTGCCGACAAGTTCGATTCTTAACAATTTTAAATTAAAAAACTAAAAAATATACGAAGAATTAAATTTGTATTAAAAAATTCTGGTCTTCTATTATAAATTAAAATCTAAAAAAAAAATAATCCGTGGTAACATTTAACGAAACAACAAAAAAAAAAGTTTGCAGTGAGGTACAAGCGCTGAATTATAAGGAACGAGGCTTTGACGCTCAAAAATTAATTATAAAAAGGTAATTAAACAAATAGAATTTCCCATCCCAAAAATTTCTTTAATAAAATTATTTTGAAAAGTTTTCTTTGGACCCAGAAATTTTTATAAAGCAAAACCAGAAGAAGAAAATTAAACGCAACTACAACAAATCCATCACAATTTATTTTAAAAATTACATCAAACACCATTACGAACAATTGTTATTGGAATCTACTTTAAAAAAAAACGAGCTTCCACTAAAAAGTAAATGAAAATTCCGTTTCAAAAAATTCCTTTAAATTTAATTTAAAAAAAAAAAACAGAAAATTTGAAGAGATTTTCTTTTTTTATAAAACTGAATTTGTAACAAAGTTTAAAAATTTTATCTCAATCTATTTAAAAATATATATATTAGCAATTTAGTAAATTTTACGGAATCTACTTTTATTACTAAACATATTCCATCACTACGAATTATAAAAATCCCTCCCCAAAAACTTATTTTAAATAAATTAAATATAAAACCTTTTTAAAAAATTATGATCTGCTATCTTTTCTAAAACAAATTTGTAAACTATTAAGCTTCCAACCCAAGTTTGGTATAAATAAATTAATTACCAACTCAGAATTGTCAAGGAAATCTGCTCTATTTATAAATTCTTTTACTTTGTTCACGTAAAATGTGGCATCAAACGAAACAAAATTTAAATTCAAATTTAACGATTTTTTTAAAGCAATCGAGGAAGAAACAACGAGGTATTCAGAATCGAGGACAGCTTCCCTACAAGTTTCAACTAAATATTAAAATTCTGGTAAATAGAGTTATAAAAATTAATAATAATATAAGCAATAAAAATATTTAAAAAATTTAAATTTTATTAAAAAATAAAACTAAAAATATATTCATCCACAAGTTTCAAAGCTAATATAATGTTTATATGATAAATATAAGATAATAAATGGGAGTAAGAATAGTTTAAATACTATAATAAAGAGCTAAATAATAATTTTTTTTGCTTAAAATTTAAAAAGGTAATAAAAATAGTAATATTTATAAAACCTCTTGAAAAAAGTTCATTGCATTTATTCAAGCCCTCTGTAAGGCCTGTAGAAGTAGGGACTTCCAATTCATTTCTACTTTCTTTAGTTAAATTTTAAATAAAAAGATTCAAAATAATAATAGCAAAAAGTATTGTTCATACAGTAAAATATAAGAACCTTCGGTTTCTTTTAAAAGACTTCGATAATCTCTTCTTAAACTTAATCGAGATTCTTGAGACAATTGTTCACTTTCATTAATTTTTAATAGAAGCAAAATTATAATTAAAAGAACTTTTAGTAAAAAAACCATAAATAATCTTTTCCTTTCTTTTGTAATATATAAATTTGCTCTTGTAAGAAAAGCAAAAGGCTTTGTAAATATGTGATGAGCATGAATATAGCTATATAATCAGATGGAATATAGCAAAACTATACTTCTTAGCTACAAACTCGAATTATTATTAAGCGTTGAAAGAGATTGCAACATATAAAGTATTGCATTTTAACAAATTATTTATATATATAATTTTTTAATTTCAAGTAAAACCCGGCAATGGTTTTTAAAAAAAATATACACAAAGTAATACCTTTTAACAAATATTATATACATAAAAATATTTTATTAAGTAAAACCTCGACATTGCTTATATAATAAAGTTCCATTTCATACAAAACTTAAATGCACTCACCAACGCACTCAAAAGCTATAAGGCCTGCATGTCTTTAAGCTACCTGTTCAAGAGAGCCTAAAAGCGAAGCTGTGTTTTTCTCTAAGTCTCTCCTTGCGAGTTTGTAACTAAAAAATATATTTATTTTTAAATAGTTATATTTCTTTCTTGGGAAACTTTATAATAATATATTATTATGAAAAATTGCGCTTGGTTATATTGTTACTTTAACATATTAAACTTTTAACAGTAGTTTATTATTAATGAATACCGACAATTTTTAATGAATATCTTACACTTATACTTAAGCATATGTTCTAAATTTGTCGAAAAAATATGGTAAAAGTTATAATTTACTAAATAAATTTATAATGAATAATACAGAAGAAATTAAAAATTTATTAAAAAGATAAAACGAAAAATATAAAAGTATTAGTATATAAACTTAGTAACAAAATAATATGAAATAAAAAAAATAAACTTTGGGGGTAAGAAAAAATTTTCCTGGAAGCAAGCACGGTTAAGAATGAGATCAAGGTAAATATAAATATATAGAGGTAAAGTTTAAGGTTAAACTTAATAAAAAGATAAAAAGGACGATGAAAGTTTACTGTCTGTCTCTTTATATTCTAGTGCAAGCATTAAACTTATAGTCTTCTTAGTTTTTATAACGTATGTTTTTACATTATGAAAGTATTTGAAAATAAAGAAAAAATATTTTTTCAGCAGTTCTATAACGCGTTTATCAGTTAAGAAAAAGAAACTTTTGTAAATCATCTCGTTTTAATAACTGATGAGCCAATTTTACCCATGGAAAGTATATGAAAGTTTAGAAAGCGCCTTTTTCCTTGCACTAGGTAGAATTTTTTAAATTTGGTTGCTTTTTTTTCGGTTTACAGCTAACGTTGTTATTGCACGCTTGTGATTCAGAGTTGAAAGTAATTTTATCTATTTATATCCCTAGCTTGCTACAGTGTTATGAGTGAAAAAACTTAAACTGCCTTATCATTTTGCTTTAAACGAGGGAAATGTCCTGTAAAGATGCTGCTTTTAAGGGATGTAACCCTAACCCCCTTAACCCTAATAAAAGTCTTTATAAGAACACTTTCTAAATAGTAAAATAAAAGTGAGAAACCTTCACTGACTTTATAAATACGCATGAAAAGATTACAAAGAAAACTCTAAGTTACTTTTACTATTATAACAAATGCAATTAACATGTAATAATTGCTATTAGTTTTGGTGTATATAATTTAAGTTTTACAACATTAATTTTAAATAAGATATCACTACTATATCCTTATTGTTAAAACTCTTGCTCATTAACACTTTAACTATTTTGTATTCCATTATTATTAGTATTGTTATATATCTCTTAAAAAATCTTGCAATGTTATTCTAACAGAGTAATATGTTTCTCTCGGCTATATATATTTAAAAAAAAAGAAAAAGCTTGTAACTTAGGGAAGTAGCTAGTAGTATATTTGTAACCTTCAGATGCTTTAATGCAATTTTAGGCTAAGGGTTAGCATATTTAAAGAATTGTATAAGTTCGCATTATACGTTATAATAGAAAAGCCTTAAATACCGAGCAGTTCCTGTAAACATTCTCTAAGGTTTTTAATATTAGACAAGGATTATATATTAAAGGTTCAAGGGATAGGCCCAAGCTACTAAGCGTAACCCATTACTAATCTAAAGATAGCTTCATAGATAACTAATTTGTTATAAAGTTTAAGTGTATCAGAATTTATGAGAACAAGATTATTTACTAATTCATCAGTAGATTGCGTCCAAGAAAATTTAAATGAGTTTATGTGTTAATGCTCTTAACCGCTCAACTGCGACTATCCCGGTATAACAAATTTACATATAGAACCTGTTAAAGTGCACTATTTTTGCATTTCAGTGGATGTAAAATGCGCCAAAAATAATTTAATTTTTTTTATAAAATATTTAAAGTAGGTCTTTCAATTTAGTTTTTTATATATAAAGCCACCGAAGTAATGTCTTCAATATTCCAGGAAAAGGGGTTGTGAAAAAAAAAATTAATCTATTTATATTCCTTTCTTCCTATTGAGAAGATAAGGATGGTGTGGCAGTTCTAGGGATTAACAAATATTTTTACTTTGTTAAGCAAATGCAAAAGTTGTAGTAGGATTTCACATGTTTGTCAGAAGAGGTAAAGACTTTGAGGTACTATAAATAACTGGAGACTGGAGAATATCACTACGTCTACGCTTTCAATTATATCTTTGAAAACTTAAAGAGCTAATATTATCACTTACTTGTTAACGACTTTCAAAGCCTAATTTCTTTTTTACATACAGCGAGACTGGGTTAAAAAAGAGCTTGAAACCAAAATTATCTACGCTTACGGACTGTTCAGAAGAGTTAATATAATTTTAAAACTGCATATTTACGTTTTTATAATATTTCGTTCTTACGAGTCATTTAACACCATTTAGAGCATTACCAGCTCTGCAAGGGATCGAGGCAGTTGGTACTACCCTTAACCTGGCTAGTAGGGGTCCCATTACTATAATGTCAATATAAATCGCCCAGTCAACCACTCACGTTGTTCGATCTTAACGCTCTTCAAGTGCGTGACATCCAGGCCATTCTATGCGGAGATTTTAACTGTAAACATCCTGCGTGGGACAGCGGAGTTGTAAATCGGAACGGCTACACCCTTAAGGCTTACGCTGAGGAAGGTGGGTTGAGAGTCCTAGGACCACAGTTGCCAACACACATGACGAGGAAGACGGGCACAATGGACGTCTTAGATATCGCCGTGTTAAAAAATATACGCCTTCCAACGGCTATTGAGGCGCTAAATGAATTGTCGTCGGGTCATTTACCTGTCCTGCCCCAAAACTTGGCGACGAAAAGGAAGCAATAAGAAACATTCTTCCGAGCTTACACGAACTGGAACAAATTAACCGAACTGCTCGAAAAGGCCTTGCCTTCGTTTAAGACACTACTCGAAACTTCCGCTAAACTAAACAATGCTGTTGTCGAATTCGAACGCAAAGCTCACAGTAAAGCAACGACGACATGTGAAATTATGTACCGCCCTAAACGCCTTCCTAAGGAACATTAGGATGCGAGCAAAGGCGAAGAAGACAAACCAGTGCTAAACCTCCACCGGCACATCAGGCAAAAGCTGATGACGCCTATAAACTTCCAATAAAATAACAAATCAAACGAAGTATCGGAGGCTAGTGAAACCGGTCGAACTTTTTGGAAAATTGTTGAGCGAGTTAGAAATCGAGGACATTCAACCCGAACCACCACTTCGCAACGGCAATACCGTAGCCGAAAGCGATGAAGATAAAAAGAAACTTTTTGCTTAACATCTAGCTGCCCAGTGCTCGCCTTTACAACCTCAACCGACCACAACGCCCCTCTTGTGCCCAATCTTATCTTTTTTGATACCACTGATTTTCTGATTTTCTGGAATTGTCTATCAATAATCAAATTACTACGGAAGCGAAAGGCGCCCTGTCCTGACGGCCCAACCTGATGTTAAAACGGTTGCTAGAGGCTGCTATGAATCATATATGCGGTCTCGTCGACTCGCTGTTGACCATCGGCCGTTTTGCTGGGCGTTAGGAAAAAAAGCCTTTTGTCGGCAGGTGGTAAGATAGCTGAAGCAGTAATACTTAATCGTTTGAAGGCGGTTATGAAAGCTCGTGGAATTTTATCAGTTTCAATTTGGATTTCGCCAGGGATACTCAACGGCCCAACAAATTCTTCGCCTAGTCGAGTGACGACCAGAGCCTTTAATTTAAAAAAAGCCACTGGTGCTGTCTTTCCCGATGTTGAGAGGGCCTTTGACCGAATATGGCAAGGCGGTCTGTTATGCCAGCTACATGCTTTGGAGATACCACGCCGACTTCAAGAAGTTCTCAAGTCGCACTTAACCGGCAGGGCCTTCAATTTGCGAGAAGGCGCTGCACTGTCGTCACCTCGCTCTCTTACAGCGGGAGTCCCACAAGGCTCTCTTCTATCACCGCTGCTATCGCGCTCTATGCGAACGATATTCCTCCTCCTCTCCACCCTCACACACGGGAGACCATTTAGGCCGGTACTACGCGATAATTTATTCTTCGTCCAACTTACACGTTTTACTATGTCAGCACTTACAATTTTATCTTGAAGCGCTTGCTAGCTGGTGTCGGCAATGGGACCTCTCTGTTAACGCAGCCAGGGGCAACGCGCTTCTTATAACGAAGAGATAACACCATGCGCTGCCGACACGTTATTTTAAACAACATGGAATTTCCGTGGTGTCGGCTTAACCCTAACCTCCTAACCTGAACCACGCTGTGGCATACAGGTAAATTATGTGGCGACGAAGGTGAAGGCAGCGACCCAGATGCTATTTCTTCTATTGTGCAGCAAAAGTAAAGTTTCGAGGCGCAATAAGAGAAGGTTTTATTTGTTGTGCATTCGGCTGAGTATGAGGTATGCATCTCCTGCCTGTGTTTACGACTTCTCGGCAATAATGTTCTCGTTTCATGTGCGACAATATAAGCTACTGAAAATATTTAAAATTAAGCCCTTGCCCTCTACGAACGGATAGCTGGACACGCCAATCGTTTTACTAGCTGAAGGGCTCACTTACAAGCTTTGGAATGATGCACTCAGCATGACGGTTGAAAGCTACGTTGGGGGGTTTAAATTGAATGTGAAAGACGCATTATAAGATACGTGTACTCGTGGACGACCAAAAACCCGTTTGAGTATTCGAAGTTGTTAACTCGATCGATTGCCAAGAATCGCCATTTAAAAATAAACTTCGTCTTTACTATAACTAGCGCTGGTACAAAAATAATAGTCAATGCTAAGAGTGAGGGTAGTCTTGGATTTAAGCCTTTGGCTATCCAACATCTTTTAACTTCACAGGGCGTTTGTGGTAATAAAGATCGCTCTGGATAGAAATCTTTCAAGTTATAAACTATTATCTAACCTTAAACGAATTTCTTAACAGTAGAAAAATACACACCTTTTGACTTTCTGCTCTTTTTAGAGCAAACAACCATATTTTAAAAAGTTTTATTTCTAATGAATTACAACGACGTTATACAACCTATTGTTATTGATAATGTGAGCCTTTAATTTTTAACAGTAAATACTAGTAATACAATACTAATATAAGGGTTCAGGAGTTATTAAAGCAGGATTTGCAGGAGAGGACAATCCTAAAACAATTTTCCCCAATTTGTAACAAACTACAATTACATCCTTTTATCTTTTAAAAAATATTTTCTTTGTAATAAGGGTAGGACGGCCTAAACACATTAGGGTGATGGCAGGGAGTATTGAACGAGTAAAGGATGAGGTGATTTAAACTTTATACAAGTTTTTCTTTTAAGTAATTAGGATTTCTAACTCTTAAAAAATTCGAAGGATTATCTGTTACTATAAAATGAAAGGCTAACTATAATTTATATATTCAAGTTTACAATTTTTTTAAAAAATTAACTTGCTTTAGTTCCCTTTTATAATAATAAAACTTTTTAAATATTCGTTATAGTACTTAGGGAAGGCGATCTCGGAACACAGAGGACTCTTAAAGCTTAATTATCCTGTAGAACACGGCATTGGTGGGCCCAATAACAATAATGTTAAAAATAAAAATAATGATAATGACAAACTCTTTAAAAGTGGAGGAGTGGGCGGACATGGAGCTTGTTTGGGCATTTTTGTATAAGGAAGAATTGATGGTCAAGTCAGAAGAAGTGCGTTAATATGGATTTTTCTGTAAAGCATCAAATTTTTTTCTTTTTTTGCATTTTTTTAAAGCATCCAGTTCTGCTGACGGAAGCTCCTTTGAATCCTCACAGAAACAGGGAACAAACCGCTCAACTTTTTTTCGAAACTTTCAACGTTCCTGCTCTTTATATATCCATTCAGGCCGTACTAAGCCTGTATGCCGCTACTTCTGTTATATTATTACTTTTTACTGCTAATGAACGTTAATTAATTTTTTTTTTTAGATATGCGAGCGGCCATACAACCGGAGTTGTCCTTGACAGCGGCGACGGCAAGATTTTTCTTCTAATTTTTTAAAATTTATTTTTCTTACAGTTAACTTTAAACTTGATTCAGGGGTGACCCACAGCGTGCCTGTCTATGAAGGCTTTGCTATGCCTCACTCTATGAAGCGAATGGATCTCGCTGGCAGGCTTATATATATTATTTTTAGTACTTGTATAGTTATTTTCTTACTACAACCTCTTTTAAAGAGAAGTCACTTGCTACTTGCAAAGACTTTTGAGGCGGCAGGGACACTTTTTTGAAACCTCCGCAGAATTCGAAATCGTCCGCGAAATAAAAGAAAAAGTAAACGGTTCAATGAATGTTTTTTTTAAGGGAATAACCAATAGGCTTTGGGGTAGATGTGCTTTCTTTCCAGCGAGTCCACTAACGGGAAGAAAGATTTAGAAAAGGAAGTGTATTTTCTTCCAGACGGGCGCGCAATTTCAGTAAGAAAGTGTTGTGTTCCCGCGGTTTTCCACTCAAACTCAACTTTTTCATATTAAAGATTGGCAAAGCGCGTTATCAGGCGCCGGAAATACTCTTCAGGTACTCATTCCTTACATATTCCGCCACGTTGCTGTTATGCTCGAAGGCCTCAGTTGATTGGCCAGGAGTACGCCGGGGTCCATCGCACACTAGTCGACTCCGTACTCACGACGGACATGGACTTCAGGTAGGAAACTTTTCTTTTCATTGGTTAGGTCACTTTTCTATAAGCCTTTTTTATCCAATCGTAGGCAAACACTTTTCCAGAACATCATTTTGAGTGGAGGATCGACTCTCTTTGGAGGTTGCTGCCATAAAAGTTGATTGGGCCTTTTTAAAATGCACGTGATTCGGAAAGGGTTTGGCAGTCGACTTTTATCGGAAGTGAGGGCTTTACTGAGCCCGACGGTGAAGATCCGCATACTCGCCCCGCAGGACAGGCAAAGGGCTCTTCTCTCTTCTCAGTTCCTCTAACGTTCTTCTCGCTAGCAGACAGAACTCCACGTGGGTGGGAGGGTCGATATTGGCATCGCTCAGCACCTTTAAAAGGGTAATGAGTGCCGCCTTTTCTTGCGTCTATTATTAGTGCATAATAAGCATATGCAGATGTGGATATCCGCTGCAGAGTGGAGGGAAGACGGGATGACCGCACTTCTGAAAAAGACTTTTTAATAATAAGAAATAAGCCGTTCTGTCATTGACCGTCTTTAGACTTTTTAGAAGGATTAAAATATTTTTCGATTCCAATAACTTGTCTGCCGGATTTTTTTTGTCTGTCCATCCGCTTCTCGTCCTCAGCTGTTCTCTTCGGGGGAGCGCGATTCGTGAAGAACGCCGTGAGCTTTTTTTGGGACTTGTGCGGCTGTGCTACGCGTGTGGACGAGCGTCCATCTAGTGCCAGGTTTTTAGGTAGGGCCGGACTTGTTTCTGCAGAGATAGTTTAGCTCAGTAGCAAAATCCCACGCATGTGTGCACATGCACGAGACCCACGTGCTTGTCGGCGTCCAACAAAACACAGATGGGCAGGTGATCAGAAAACTGCGGAGGAGTATACAGCATCCCTGCGGAAATCAGTTATCAAAACTTTTTTTCTAAACGACGCAATAAGCAAAAAGCAGCTCGCCGGTGTGCGGGGGTACAATATGGAAATAGTAGGCAGCAGGCGGGGCGTCTTGCATTCCTGTACGTATAAATTACCAATACGGAGTCGGTCAAGGAATAAAAGAGCGAACCAGTGCCGTCGTACGGAGCTGGCTTGATCAGTCCGCCAGCAGTGAGACAGAAAAGGAGATCAGACTCGTCTTCTTGGTAAGACTTGGTGCGGTTAAAATCCAATTTTTCCAGCGAGCAACTGCTTTTATATAAATACCTTTAAATTTGCATGCGAGAAAAAAAATTAGACCTTGCAACCGTCTCATAGTATCGACTATCATTCAGAAAAGTATAAAATTGTTTGTTCAGAAGGGGCGTGCCAGCGACAACAAACTGGTTAAAGAGGTTTTTCTCGACCAGTAAGAAGTCGATTCTCGCTCCATCATTAGAAAATCTGTTGTAATGACGACAATGAGAACTGCTACGTAAAAAAATATGAAAATTATTTAGAAACCTTCTGTTTCTAGACTGATCAAAACAAGTAAACCTTTCCTTGACTTCGGGGTGCATCGCAACTAGAGAATCTACGAGGTTTGCCCGCTCCAGCAAGTCGTAAAACCAGCACTGGAAAAACGAATCAGTGGGCGACCTAATTCGCATCGGAAAAAAAAAAGTTGAAATTTTTCACAAAACCGTCTAAGTTTAGCAAGTCGCAAACTGTAATATTAACTGCACACTTTTCTTAAAAAACTGTTAAATTATTTTAAAAGGAGAGCGAGCCGTACGCGCCAAAATCGGAGAGTATATAAGCCTCCTTTTTTGTGAACGTTGTGTTGGCGGCTTTTTCGTAGCATTCAATCCACTGACCGACAAAAAGTGTATTTCGATAAGAAGCACTACAATTTTCTCCACTCCATTTTCCAATACAAAAGGCATCTTGAGCTTCTGAACAGCTCTCGTATCGCTTACCTGATCCAAATAGTAAAAATAAATTAGTACTGATAAGCATATACTCATATACAACTTTTATTATATAAACCAGATTTATATTGAAGAAAAAGAGACGAAAAATAAGATGATTTCAATAAACTTGCTAATCAAAGTAAAAAAAATTACTACCAATGTGCCGAAGCTTTATATCTTTAAGATTGGAAACAATCTATAAAATAATATAAAAAAATTCATATTTATAAATTTTTTTTATTTTACTTTGTACTGAAATTTTCTCTTTAAAGTTTTTTTCTCCACGATTTCAATAACTTGCACACTTAAACTCTTCAGTAATAAAATAACTCGCTCCAACCCTTATAAAAATGGATAAAAATATATATCCCTCTCCAAAAGAATTTATAGTTTGAAACTTTTTTAAAAAAACAATTTTTAGGTCTACTTTATAATAAGTTCGAGTTGTCGATTCCGTATAAAATTTTTAAGTTTTTCTTTAACTATATAAAAAATTCTTTATTTTTAATATTAAACTTAAAAAAAAGCATCAACAACTTTGAGTACAATCAATATTTACTAGATTAAGCAAAAACATCCTTACCGTAAATTTTACAAATTAAAAATGTAAAAATACAATCCGAGGGGGTTTAAATATTAACAACTCTTAAACCTTTTTTTAGTTTTCTTGCAAGTTGACCGCTCTCGTTACTTAAATTAATTAATTAATATTTTATAAATAGCTAAAAATGTTTTACTTCTTTCCTTCGTGATTATTTATTATACTTAAAAGTTCACTATAACATATAACCCTGTTAAACCTGATAATAAAAAGATTATTTTTTTTTTTAATTTTATGATTTAGTTAAAAATAATTTATAGGTACCAAGAAACATCCTCTTTTCTTCCCGTCAAGTTCAAATCCCCTTCAATAATTTTATATTTTAAAATTATACAAAAAAATACAAAAGCGATATATATAAATAGTGTAAATAATTATATAATATAATTTAGAAGGGAAACCGGCTATAATGACGGCCTTCAAAGAAGATTGCAAGCTCACCACCAACTGGGTTAAGGCGAGGTGAAACTGCGCTTTATGGCAATTTCTAGAAGAAGGTGCGTAAACATTCACTATTAAAAAACTGCCTATTTTCGACGAGCAAAGATTAAAAAAAGAATTCAAAATTAAGGAAACATTTAAGAAGCCAAAACAGATTACCATGAAACGTAACGAGGCATCGCCCTTCCAAGTTAAGTAGCTCAGCCTCCTTTAAACCCAACTGGTTATCGTGTCCCGAAAATTTGTTTGAATCGGAATTACAAGCGCAGTTAGTTCTATGTTTAATGTATATTGTAGATAACAAAGTAGAATTCGAACAGGGAAAGGGATTGGCATCTGCGCTACTAGTTAACCCTTTTCTTGCAAAAGTAGCTACGCCATTAAAGCCTTGACGGCCTGGAAAAAAAATTCAAACAAAAAAAATTAGGTTTAACTAAATAGTAATAATAGTAGGAATAAAGTCGAACTTCGGCAACAACTCCAAAAAGTTTCCCAATCTTTTAATAAAGATCCTGAAAAGTGGGCGTTATTACCTATTTTTTCCAAAGAAAGTTTTGTCTAACGAAGAAAGTAATTTTTATAACAAAAAAATTTGAAAAAATTAGAACCTCTTGTAAACACAATATGTCTATTTTAAGTAAATTAAGCCATTTTTCTAAAGAGCCAAATTGTAAAGTAATTTCGCGATATGTTGTGGACCAACTTGCGACATTAAAGGAAACAATAAGCATTTATAAAGAAGTTTATTGCAAAGTAACGTTCCAAAGCATTAAAGACATAAAGTTTGTTTTTCGTTGAATTATTAATCAAAAATTATTTTTTCTTTAACTCGCCAACAAACTTTCAATACTCGAGCCTTTAGACAGACTAGTAACGTCATTCCAACTTTTTGGTTTCTCGCTTAGCCCCTGCGTTACCCTTTCTCCCCTCCCCTTACCTTTACATCAGTCTTAAATATTCTGACAAAAACCAAACTTGTATTGAAGGCGAACCACGATAGTGTGAGTCATCCTTTCATTCGTAATATATTTAACTGCTAGGGGAGGGTTGACAGTTCATTAAAGGAAATAACACGACAACAAAATATAAATTTAGACTCTAGCTAAAGGTTTCTATGTAAAGCACCGTTTTGCTTGAAACAGAGTGGGAGTAACTTGTTTTAGAGCTCTTACGGCTAGGGGAGCTCCCAAGCAGCAGAGGTATATGTCAGAATTAGCTGCTTTCGCTACGTAGTGTAAAGGGTATTGTGCTTCCGTCGCAGTCATGACCTTTGCAACTACGAAGTCTCGTGTAAATACCGCGAAAGTATACTGCTGATAATAATTATCGAGTATTTGGCTTGCACCACTGGATTATCGTGTCATTAAAGACCAGTGCCGATAGCGGTGTGGTTCTCCATGATAAAATGTTCTTTGCTCAGGCGTCTTTTGGAGAGTAACCTTTTAAAAAACAGCAATTAAAAGCAAGCATGAAGTGCAAATGCTTTCAAAGTAGAGCGGGCGGCTTTGATGAAGAATTAAAGGTTCTATTACCTATGTACATGGCAACCTTATAGTGAGGTCTAGTCGGTAATGTAAGTCGCTCATAGAAGGCAAGGATTACCCCCGCTAGTTTTCTTAAATGCTGACGTGCTTTGCCAACACAGGTGCCACATAGGAGGGATATAGGCGTTTAATTTTTAAGCTTCATGCAACACTCAGTCAAATGTTTTCTTAACTTAAAAGAAGAAACACAGGATAATTTGCTATGTTATACTGGAGACTGTTGAGTCATTTAATTCCATGCCTACCCACACTGTAACTCTGGTAGAGGTCGCGGCGGGCATTAAGGCCTCCTTCAAGCGGCCACAGCAAATTTTCCAACTGCGAACAAGAGGTTGATAGATCTCTATCTAATTGGCAGACATGCAGGCCATGGCGTCTGTAGTAACATCACCAAAAGTCTTCTTTTTCTATCAAATCGAAATGCTGTGAAGGGTTAGCGTCTTCTTAAGTAATAAAGATAGTAAAATATGTATCGCTATCAGTCGCATGTGTTTCAGTACCAGGTTCTTTCTCCGGAAAGCTTTTATGCTCTCCTGAATCTCGGTGCTGATGGTCTATTTGACCCTAAGTGGTTGCACCTCTTTTCAAGATATTTGTAGCCGCAGTAGGTCTCTCAGACCCCTTGATTTTGAAATTTTTTACTTTTATATTATATAAAAAACACAGTAAATTTTTGAACACTTTTGTTTACTGAGATATTAGGAAGCGGGTCACACTAAACTTTGACTTCCATCTAATTTGAAAATTTAAAAAACAATAATTTTCAGAACTGCAAGCCCCTCCGCAACTACTGTAGGGTTAAAGGTCACTAAAACTCGCTTTAATAAGCTATTATTGGCAATTAAAGGGGAAAGGTGGCACACATTAACAACAGAACAATCAACAAATAAAAGTGCTTTGTCACCATCTCTCAAAAAGGTAGTAACGCACCTCTACCCTAATCATTCCCCTTAATAAACTGCCAAACGAAGTCATCGCTTCCACCTGCCTCCAGTTTGTAGTGTAACTTTCTTTAACGGCAACAAGTGCGCCTGTAGCTTTTTACTAATAAATGTCGGTTTAATCGATTTATTGCTAGTTTTCTTTTGGCATGCTGCGAGTGCTGCTTCAGGCCCCAGATAAAAAGCTAATCTCGACAGTCGGACGATCGAAGCGATGCTCAACTTTGTATACACAGTTATAAGCACGAAGTACTAGTGGCGATGTAATACGAACATGAGTGCCGGGGACAACTACAATTTAACATGGAGTGAAAACTACTTGGGAGACAGGGTCAACTCCAAACTTAAATTAAACAATTTAAGTGATTAAAAAAAAAATTCACAAACTTTTTTGCAAACCAGCGAGCCTGAAGATCAAACTGACTATCAATACTGGCATTTTATATACCTTCACAAAAGACAATTTTAAATAAATTTAAATTTGTATGATAGATATTTCAGATTTGCTGTTTACAATTTGCTTGCTAAAGTTTAATTTCCAAACATATTCACCAATAGTTTATTTGCTTTTATTTTATTTTTAATTTTTTCTTTGTTTATATATTATTTGTACACTATTAATTGGTTTTTTAAAAATTCAGAATCGTTTTATCAGATGTTATATATTCTGTTATTAATTTGCGGGTTAATGTTAGTGTTCACTTGCCGTTTTTTTTTTTAATATCATTCCCTATTACTATTTTGCTTTTATTTTGTTTTTGATTTGTTTAATGTTGTTTATTGAAAAGTGTGTACTTTTTCTATATAAATTTTACTTGGTTAATTGCGTTTTAATATAAAATTAATGTTTTTTTTGTTAATTGGGTTGGATTTCTCGTATAAATTAGGTGACTAAGTATAATTTTTCCTAGGAACATTATTCCTCATACGGGTATAATTATTATAATAGTACGTTTTCGGTTTTTCTTGTTACTAAGAGGCATCTTTAAATTAAAAAGCCAAAATTTCAAGACGCAAATACCTATACCTCTAAGATTTGTGGTTAATTCACTGACAGCAGTGTATATATGTAAAAAAATACTTAATAAAATAAGATTATTCTCCTACTTTGCGCTCCTTCGTCTTGTAACTGTTTGTTTGTGTCTACAGGACTTAACATCAGTCAAAACTAAAATTAGAAAACCAAAAGAACAAGTTAGTAGTCTTATATAGTTGTTAAAAACACAGAAGTACAACTTACTAAAACATTGAGCTTCTCAATTCTCCTACTCCTATCCACTTCTCAAGCACTCGTTCTAATTTTTGTGTATATCTAAGCAAATTGACTTGTTTACTAAAAAGATAGCATTTATCGGTCTTCTATACTGGTCTTTTACTCAGTAACTCTCAAGATTTTTCAAATAATCTTTTAAAGGGAAAGCATATAGGTGTTAATTATTTTCTTGCTATTAACTTAAGATCTTCTTTTCTCATAGCCAACTTTTTAACTTAATATACTTTTACTTAAACAGCTTCTATAGACGTTTATTGAGTTATGTTCACTTAAATATTTTGAAGATGCATCTGCATCTATATATTAATAGCATCTAAATCAGAGTACACTTCTTGTCTTCTTAGCTACGTTTGCGTTACGCACTTATAAAAGATTTTATAGATGATCACTCATCGCCCAAAAGTATTCATCACCGGCCATTATTCGTAAATGATAAGGCTCAACTCTATATCGCATTTCATAAAGTTAGTTAATAGCTACCTCTATATATTTCGCTATACTTTTCACGTATATAAAGCGAAATAAAATCCCGAAAGGTGAACAAAAAAAAAATTTTTTATCAAAAGCGAATGTTCCCCAACTCGAAGGTCAGTAAGTTAAAGCAACTGTTTTTATTAAAGCGAAAGAATGAAGATCGCTACAAAATAGTGACTTATGTCTTATGACTTTATAACTATCTGCAGTGCAGAGAAGAAAAAAAAAAGACAGAGAACAAAATAATCCGGGCAATGCTAATGGGATCATCGATTTATTATCTATCACATTAAAAAGCGACCGTCCAAGCAGAATATTTATTTGCGGTAACGAGCTTCGTTCGTCTAGGATAAAAGGGTTTTTAACCTCGTATAAGAGTAACATGTAGTAATATACAAACGTCCAACCTTAAAATACCTTAAGACTAGTAAAACGTCTAAATAAGCAATGAAAGCGTTTAGAAAAGTTTTTGCAGAAAAATGCTCGAGACCGCTGGGCTCGGCCTTAAACGCTTTTTCGTTGTAAGTCGTGTCTTGCCTTACCGTACTGAAGGCTTTAATATATTAAAAAACCCACCACTTATTCATACATAAAAACCAAAACTGTTATAGAGTTACTTTAATAACTTGCTGTATTCTTAGAGAGGAAAAGCTTTAATACCGACAAGTGCTTCGTACAAAATATTTTTTAATCACCCTATAGTTAAGTACAAAAAGCTACGATTTTGTTATTCACGTTATCATAATCTTTGAAATAAAATTCTTTACATATCGTAATGTAAGTAAAGTAAAGCACTTTGAGCCTGGGCGTGCATTTTATATTTTATTAATAATAACGCCAAAGATGGCATAGTTCTTAGCTAATATAAAACGATTAACCTAAATAAAAAGAGCTACAACTATTTAATAGCATTGTCCAAAGGAAATATTAAAACAAAGTGGTAAAAAATTATGAAAATATAACGTATATACACCAAAAACTTTTTGTTTTGATAATAATATCTGTAAAAAAAGGGGAAAATAAAGAACAGAGCAGTATATTATAAAAACAGTTAAGACATTGAAGCAACACATAACAGTGTATAATTACGAGTACTTAATAAAAAATGAGAAGAGTAAAGCTTTTATTAAAATAACTATTTATAACCAAAGAAACTAATTCATTCTAGCAACAAACTGACTTAACATTTCTTCTCTATTGCCGTAATCACCACCTTCTTGAAAATGAATGCCCTTTTTCACATAACCACCTCGAGGAGAACTGAGTTTAAAAGGCCACAAAAAATTGTTAGCTCGCTTGAAATTACGACCGCAGGTATAAATTTCATGGATTAAATCTTCAATGCAACGAATACCGTAGCGGCCAAGTTTATTTTCAATAACATCATTGTCTTGAATACGAATTCTCTGGCCGTTAAATTTTACGTGACCCCGCTTGTAAATAAGATCTCTCACTGTCTTCAAACTTAAATAACCATACGTCACGTAAGGTTCTACTCTTCGCACCATATTCATAGTGGCCTTATTAACTTTGATAAAAACACCATTGTGAATTTGGTGCAAGCGTAAAAGCTTTAATATAGTTCTAGACTTGGGATCAATCTTGTTAATTCCACGTATTCTAACAACGAAGGCAACCTTATGCTCAGGCTTCACAAAAAAGTTGCCTTCTTTTTTCGCTTGGCGATCTAAGCGGATTAATTCCTTTTTTTTATTTTCATATTCTTTATAATATCTTGCTGTTCTCTTAATAAAACCTCTTCGTTTCAAAGTGACCTCCTAGAGGCGTGTTAATATATGAAAGTAACTTTTAAAAGAAAAACAAGAGTAAAAAAAACTCACCCTTCTCTTTAAGACGCGAGCTTTAATTAAAGCTAGCCTTAACTTTTCGTTTCTGTCCCGCTTTTTAGCGATAGTGTGAGGAACAACCATGATCTTAAGTGTAATATAATAAATAATATAAATTTATATAGCTCCAAAGAAGGTTTACCTAAAATATTTGAAGCTCCAGGGAAGGTAAAAATTAAAAAAAATATATAAAAGCAGGCAGCCCGCGTTCATGTGCTTTAATTAGTGGTTTGCTGTCATACTGTAACCTTATAAAAATTTGAGGGTAACGTGAGGTGCGGCGCTCGCCTTCCCGGGTTGCTCTGCATAATATTTAAAAACATAGATTAGGGTTTTCTTGCATATATAACCACCGAAGTTATTTTTTTTTAGTCAATAATTACTACTAGTCGCCATAATACATGTTTTATGGAAGTGAAAAGATTTATAAATGTAATATGAATTTATTAAAAACTGTCGTAAAGGTACACAACGTCTGTGTTAGACGAACATACTCAAATAAACAAAGGCTTAATACTAATAATTTTGTTTATCAAAATTCAATGCTAAAATAGTTAATGAATGCCATCATTTAAAAAATTCTCAAAAGCAATAATAGCCTAATGTATTTCTTTATCATAATTTATTTAAGCAGGAAAACTGCGTCTAGAGGGTTTTCTTATAACCTAGTAACTCCCTATCTTGGAGTCAACTGATGCAAACTAGAGCGCCGTTAGTTACTTGTAGGCCACTTCACGCGATATTATGCAAGTAGTTATAAAAGAAATTTTTCTCTTAGCATATTACTTAAATTTTTTCAAACCTTCTCACAATGGCTCAGTAGCTTTACATATCAATGGTAACCCTTTTTAAAAGGACCAGGGCTAAAATATATATCTGAAAATTTTCTTTATCTCTCAGTTGCTTTTTTGATACGGAAACCTTATTGTTCTTGGCTTCCTTTCTAACGTAATATTGCATACACTGAGAAGGCACTATTGTTATCAAGTATAAATTGTTAAGTAGCCTTAGTTTAACTTAAATAAACCCCAAATATTACATCCACAAAAAGTTACTAGTAACTCCACAGACATAAGCTACTCATTATACTTATCTCTCTTTTGTATATCTTCCTTTTTTAAATTTTACAAATGTAGTTTTTTATATATAATTATCCACATGTTAATTTTCTTTTATGAAGTCTAAGGGTAGTAGAACAAATATGCTACTGTTTAAGTGCTACCTTAAACCTGTTTGTTCACTTTTAATGAGATTAACAACAAGGAGAGCAGGGTAAGCCCTCAATAAGTTATTATCAGTTAAATAAACTTCCAGCTAAGACCTCATTAAGTTATCATACATACATCAGCAAATAAAGAATACACCGAGTTCAAGCAAACTTTAAAAATTTTAAAACCATTTTTATGTAAATACCTTAAACAAAAGTTTTATTATACGACGGGCTTTGTACGAAGAAACAAAAAAAAAAAATACCACAAACCAAAATGAATAACTATAAATTACTTAATACTTTGTACAAATATTTTATTTTAAAAATAATTAAATGAAACAAATTTATTTATCAATGTTTAGGAAGAAAGAGAGGATTTGTTTTTAATTTAAATATATAAGGTAATTTTTCTTAATATTTAAGCCCTAAATGTTAAATTTTATTTATCTGTTTTATTTAGGTTCTCTTGATGAAAAATTCTTGCCGACCATTTCTATGTGTCCGAAATAAAAGTATACTGTCTTTCATACATTTTAATTTTTAAGAATTTTTAGAGTTTTTGAGCTACTGCAGGACCTCACATATAACAGCTTATTTGCTCATTTACTGTACATGACAAGTTAACTTCACTAAACAAGGACACAGCAACAAAAAGGTTCCGTCAAGAAATACGAATTATTTTTATTTTTACTATATGTACATTTATATACCTAATTAATAATGATTGCCCGCTTTGCTTCTTTTACACTAGAAAACGAATAGTCAAAATTCTTTTAAGACTAATTTAATAATAGTAAGCTCCTTCCATTTAGCCTAGTGTGATGGGATTACTCTTAAAAATAAACCCATTGGGACTGGCCAAATTAGTCTCTCAACCGCACACTAATTGCTAGAATTATTACAGTTGAATTAAGTAAATTATGAGGTAATTATGCCACATTGATGTTTATTTTTCTCTCAAAGTGTTTTTGCGTTAGCGTACTTGGTCTTACTCTAGAGAGTCATAATGGTTTTTACCCAGTTTGTTGGCGCTTACAGCTTGAAGATAGAAATTGGGTTGTCCCATTAGTTTATATTATAAGTATGCGATTATCTCAATCGTTAGAATGCTAATAGTTCCTGCTCACCAGCAATTTATGCATGTCGTACTAATTATTCTGAAGTGTTTTAATAATTCTTAAGTTTTAATTACCTTTTGAAAGTACTTGCGTGTTTCTACCATTTATGGTATCCCTTAGTAGTTCTACTTTTAAGATTTATATCGCATTCCTTACGAAATCTTGGGGCTGTAAGCAATTGCTAAATGTAGCTTAAATACGATTAGCAAAGATCACATCTCTTTGCTTTATACAGCAGTGATTCGCTCTACACCGCTACAAGCTTTAATTTCGTTGGACGAATTTACTTTAATAGCGACAAGTGCAGTTTCTATATTGTATATAATTTATGCTCGCATTTTTACCGATACAGTTATTTTAAAAAAAACTAGTTAAATACTGATCTGCTTGTTGCCTTAATTTCAAAGTTCTAAGTTTATTTCGCTTCTGTTATCGTTAGTTTTTAAGTTAATTTTTCTCAAAGCCTTTTGAGTTTAACTTTTTATGAATTAAGCTTTTGCTTTTTTAATTGTGATTTGTTATAATACATTTGGTCTTTTTAGAACCTTAGGATATTAGGGTCGAAAAAATTATTTTATTAGGCCTCTTCAAAATATTTTTGTCAACTTTTCGGTGCATCTTATTATAGATCAAAAATATTGACTTTCTAACTTGGCTAAACCTTCCACTAATTCTTTGTACTTGTAAAACTTGCACCGCATCACACAGCTGTTGTTAATTATAATATAATATCAAAACATAACTAACAATACCCAAATAGTCGCTAATAACATCTCTCTTCATTCTTCAATATGTAGTGTAGGACTTATTTTTTAGGGTGATCTTGTCAATGTTTATTTAAATTATTATCTTTTAAATAAACTCAGGATATTTTTATATATGGCATTAATTGCTTCTTTTATGTTTTAGTATAAAAGCTTTTTAATTTTGGTCACTACTATCAGTAAAATTATTGACAAAACAAATTTACGTATCTAATCTTGCGATGCTAGTTCTTTTTTTTTCATGCAAAGAAGACGAGACTTTTCTCCTTTTTGGAAATAGCCAAAGTTATTTTTAACATTTTAGAAAAGCGATTTTCCTATGACCTTTGAGCTTCATCGATTTTAATTTAAGAACTCTTCACACTTAGTCTTCATCAGCACAAAATGCATCAATAAACAAATCCCATGTCTACAACCAAGTATAAAGTTCGTTTTACTACATAATTAAGAGTATATATACTTAAAATGTAACTTACAGGTTCGATGCCTTATCTCGGTTTTTTTTTTAATGTAAAAGAGATTATGTCCACGCATTTTTAAAAAATTCCTTTTATTGATTTTTCCTTTTAACTGTATTACTCATAAAACGGGGAAATCCACTTATGAGGTTTGCGCGACTACGAGCTGTTCGCTGAGTCGGCTTGTGCTTGCGTTGTGGTAAGCTATTATCCTTAACCGGAAGAATTAGTCTTTTCCTATACCTTAAGCTATATTATAATATTTCTCTGGTTATATATATTTATAACTTATAGGTTAAAATCAACTGCTTTAAGTTTAACTAAAGCGGCCTTTTTTTCTTTAAAAAAAACTCTGGGTTATTTTTTGCCTTCAGAGGATTCATAATTATAATGGCAGCAAAAACTTATGACTACCTTTTTAAACTTTTATTAATTGGTGATTCAGGAGTAGGAAAAACATGTGTTTTGTTTCGTTTTAGTGATGACGCGTTTAACGGTCAGTTTTTTCGTTGCCTACTTATTTAAATTTCACCCGTTTCTGTTACTTTTATTAATATTTTATATATTGCTCTTTTTACGATTGAAGATAAATTTATTTAAAGACACTTTTATCTCCACCATTGGCATCGACTTCAAAATTAAAACTATTGAAATCGATGGAAAGACCATTAAACTCCAAATATGGGATACGGCAGGTTATTTATAATAATTCTTTAATAGTATTTGAATAAGATATAATGTTTTTATATTGTATGAATTAGTTACCAACTTAAATTGTATTATACAGGCCAAGAGCGTTTTCGAACCATAACGATGGCTTACTATCGAGGTGCAATGGGCATTATGTTAGTGTACGGTTCGTGTTACTATTTTTAAATTACTAAAAATAATTTAATAATGCTTCATTAAAAAAATATTATAGACATTACCAATCGGAAGTCTTTTGAAAATATTCAACAATGGATGAAAAATATTGAACAGAACGCCAGCAATGACGTTGAGAAGATTATTCTTGGCAATAAGTGCGATATGGACTCTAACCGTGAAGTTTCTAAAGAGGTAAGATTTTGGTTTTAGAATAATCAATAAAGAAAAAAAATATGTTTGCTTTGAAGGAAGAATTTACTAATCAGTATGAAAAGATTAAAAAAGTTGTTATAGTTAGCTGAAAAGCTTTAGTCTACCTTTTTTTAAACAAACTTTACTTACAAATTAGATTTTATTGTTGTTTAATAGTAAAGGAAAACATAAAAACTTTTTTTATGTAGCTTAAGCCTAGAGGATTTTTAATTGATTAAAGTATTTCGTTTAAATCGTTTTTTTTATATGCGAACTTAACTTTTTTTTGGATCTTTCATATTTAGGAAGGAAAAGATCTTGCTAGAAAATATGGCCTTCAGTTTTACGAGACGAGTGCTAAGGAAATGATTAATATAAAAGAGGCCTTTTTAGAAATGTCTGGACGCATCAAAAGTAAGCTGGAGTCTCGCGTAGAGCCATCCTCAACGAAATCTAAGGCACGAGGGATCGTGAAAGTCTCGGGTAAACACGAGAAAAAAGGATCATCTTTTTGCAAGTTTTTCTGAGAGAAGTGTTAAAGTTTTTATTTAAAATTTGTTCGCTTCCCTGCAGGAGCTTTCATGTGTTAGTAGTATACTTTGTATTAAAAAAATAAAGATGGTTTTTAATTTTTTTATAAGAAATATAATATATATAAATAATTCATATTATTAAGGATTTAGATAGGGAAATTATGCTTAACAAAAATTTTGTACTAATTTTTTTTAGTCAATTAACTATTTACAACTTAAAGAGATTCCCGATATCGGTTACTGCGTTCACAATTATTTTACACTTTTCATGAGTTCTAAAAGCGTACGCTCTGAGGATGCCAGTCATGCATATTATTTAATTCTTTCTTTATATTTAGTAAACAACGCCAGATTAAATTTGCCCTGTTTTTAAAACTTGTGAGACCTGCACAAAAATTTTAAAATTTCTGATAACTATTTTTGCTCAAATGAGAGCAACCTCTAAAAGGTCCCGCGAAAGATAAAGTAAATTCTTTACCAAAAGAGAGGCGCGGGTTGGTTATGGTTTCCAGCTTTGTTATGACCCTTATAAGTGGGGAATATTGCTTAGGTTTGTTAGCAGTTAGGCACAAATATTTTCTGATAAGAAAAGGGTATGAAAAACAGTTGTAGGACTTTAAGGTTCATGATATATTAACGTAGATGAAATTATTTTAACCTTTTTTTTATAAAAAATTGGCCGTGCAGAAAAAAGGAAGTTTAAGGAGAGCCCTTAGAAAATTGGTGTAATTTTTCATACCCCCCCCTCACTCACACTAACTGGTAATTTTAGCTGCACTGTTGCCGGTTTAAGGTTGGAGTTTACTTTTAAACATAAATAATAATTCTACGTACTTTGGCATTTATTAAAAAGTTGTAAATCAGAACTTGATGTTGTAATAGACAATCTCTTCAAGGCGTGCTGCCAATTTTTAGCATGACTGAAAAAATTTGGCCTATAGCTTTAAATTAAATATATTCCAAACTTAATTCTTTACTAACACAGTACTACCCCTTTTAAAAAACGCTGGTGAACAAATGTGTGCGAAGAAACAAAAAACTAGTAGCGTCATTTTAGCTATCTTTAATTAAAAGGAAAAGATACTCACTAAATAATAATTTTAGCATTTTATATACCTTAAAGTTTTCTTATTTTATAAATTTTATATGGCTTCATGTCCACTTATGTAGGCTGTAGTACCCAAACTAGTGATGTCTATGCATGTTGTGTTCATATAACTAAACTTTGCTTAATTCTATAGACTTCACACCCCAAAATGAACCGCCTGAAATATCTTAGTTTAACAAATACTATAATATAAGCCAAAAAAGTCTTTTTAACAATTAAAAAAAAATTCCTGAGTAGATAAGTGAAAAACCATCAATGCTGACCCAAAGCTAGGTCCTTCTTAATCGCAGATTGTCTATCTCTAAATAAAGCTATGCTTTTACAAATTGTAACTTTGCCTATAAATATATATTATCAGGTGAAGTAGCCATATTATTCGCTTACAAAAAGTATTATATATTATGACTAGGATTTAAACATAACAGGTAAGTTAGTTCTGCTATTTACTTACGAGGACACTGCTAGAATTAAAAATATAAAGTTTTATTGCTGCCTTAAAATAAAAAAAAAAGTAGTTTTTTTATTTTTCGGAAACTCAGTTATAAAATATATAGTCTTAAGCCCATAAAAAATTCATTAATTTAAATAACGTTTTTTAAAAATACAGCAATCTCCTCGAGGGAGGTTTGACTTAACTGGTAGCTTTCAACACTACCGCTCTCAAAGGTTCTACGTTAATATGGATTTTATAACTTGCTAGACTAAAAAGTAGAAAAACGTATTTATTTATGGTTGTCAACTTCGGGAGATAGGAGAAGAGTGTTTGTAATGGTTAACACTTTCTAAAATGATCTTAAGAGCCTTTCTATTTTACAAATACTATCGAGCTTCTGAGGCTCTGATCAGCAGTGTCGATGGAATAGTCTTTTACATCATAAGACGGGTACCAAAGGGGGAATTCGGACGAAAGACTGGCTCCTCGCATACAAAGTAAAGTTCTTACGGGACAAAACTTCTAGTCATAAAACTAACATTGAAAAGGAGATTTCTGATATTAAACTATGTCATGGCGAAATATTAAGGGGTTCGAGGTTTTAATAAATTAGTTGTTTCTCTAGTGGTGGGCACCCGGAGGAAAATGGTAACAGAGACTCAATAAAATTTGAACGTTATCTGAATAGTCTACCTAATTGTGAGCAATGAAAAACATTTAAAATAGATATACTGATGCAAAAGTATGTATTTGGTTGAACTCTGGGCGTAAAGGCATTAATTTAACTCGCTTAAGTCTGGCAGGTCACGAACAAATTAAGGAAGCAAAGGCGAACAACGTTCACTAACCTTTAAAGCAATGATCATGAAGAACAAGGAATTTTTAAGCAATGAAGACCCACATATGAGACAAGACCATCATCTCTAAGATCTACCAGGGCAAGATTCAGCGTGAAAGGTTGCATACCATGTTGTAAAACTGGCCAGCTGGAAGAAATATGTTTTAAATCAAAGGCAAAGAGTAAACTGAGCACCTTGGAATACAATTCCACACTAGATTAAAATGGCCCTCGAACTTGCAAGTGTGCCACAAGTGAAAGCAAACAGGCCTCGATTATGGAATCCTTCCTTTTACCACTTGTGCGAAAAGTTTTATTAAAAGGTCATAAAGTTTGCAAACGAATGATGTTAACTTTATTATGTAACTGTAAAATTACCTTGCTAGTTTTTGAAACTTTAAAAAAACAATATTGTTGTATGTTTTAATAGTTAGTTAATGTTAACACTTGAGGATATCATTAATATCCTCAACAAAAATATGCAATGACAAAATATTTAAATTAATTATATACCTTAAAATACAAAGAGCTTAGGCGCTCCCTCAGTCACCCTTAACGTAAGCTTAAAACGTTCCCCGAGTACTTAAACAGCCAAAAAAAGTGCATGCTGGATTCAGTAATATAAGTTATTGACCCTCCAAAGGCGGTCAAGTCGCTTGATTAACTGTTGTTATATTACGATGTAAGCAAGATAAGAATCTTTTTACCACGACGAACTAGAGTTTTGTAAAATATAAACACCCAAGAAACTTGTTAAGAAAAAATTTTCATAGTATTATTTTTTCTTTTTCCCTTGCTTGTAGGGCTTTAAACCTGAGCTAAAACGCTGAAACGTTATTCATGAGCTTTAGACTAAGGGTCGTTCAACTGTGGTCGATAAGATACGAACTTGTCAAAGGAAATCCTGCCTTATTAGAACAAGCTTGTCAGTTTAGTTTTACTAAGTATACATCAGCGTAATGATATTGGGTAAGCTACCATGAAGTTAATAACATAGGCATAAAGAAACTTATTTTATAGTAATAATACTAACAAAAATTCTAAAAATACGGAAAGTAAAAAAGTTCATATGGATTCTCCATATAAACTTTTTGTACTTCATTTTTTTTTTATTTTGTTAAATTTAAAAAATAAGGTAAAATTTAGAAAAAACTCGGTATTATTTTTTTATAATTCGGGAAAAAAAATTAATTTATTTTTGGAAACTTTAATAATTAATTATTTTATAAATACTCGAAGAGTAAATTTTCTTCAAAACAATATTTTTTTATAATCTCTTTTTTTTCCTTTTAACATTAATAATATTTTGTTTTTAAATCCATAAATTTTAATTATTGTTTTAAAAAATAGATTCAGTTTATAAATTTTTATTTATTAATTTATTTATTTATATTTATATTTTAGATCTTTTTTTTAAATATTTTTATCGGGAAATTTTTTTAAATTTTGTAATTTTTATTTTTATAATTTTTTTAATAATAGTAATTATATCTTAAAAATTATTTTATTAGTATTTATTGACTATTATTTTTTAAATATTTTGTTTTAGGAAATTTTAAAATATTATTTTCTTAATATATATATTACAACGTAAAATTAGTTAATGTTAATTTTAAATTAATATTATTAGATAAAAAAATTAGTTTTCAAATTATTTGAAAATTTTTTAACTTTAAAAGTAAAAAAAAGTTATTAGTACTTATATTAATACTTATTTTTAACTTTTTTTAATTATAGATTTTTTTTTATTTTTTATCAAAAAATTAAATATTTTATTTTATTTTAAATATTATTTTATATTGATATTATATGGTACTTGTTCAACTATATAAAAAAAAAAAAAATAGAATTTACGAGCTCTGATTTAAGCGTGTGTCAAAGCAATCTCACTTTTATATAACAAAATAAATGTTAACTTCTTAATATAATAGGATTTGATAATTGCGTAATTTTATTAAAATTATTATAAATTATTCTACTTTTAACCACTTTTAAAATTATATAATAATCTACATTTTGTTACTTCATGCTCTCCTTATTATAGATAAAACTAAGATTCTAGGCGCCCATTGGGAGATACCGGCGCCTTCCAATGGTAGGTACATTAACTTTTTTGCGATTAGTTTGCTAAATAAATCGTTTATTAGTGGTGTCATAATTAAATTATTTTACGATTTTTGAGTACTTTGTTGGATAAGTCGTTTATAGGTGGTAATTGTAATCGAGTTCTTTTGCGAGTTTTTGATTGGCGTGCCGAGGAAGTATAGGTCGTTTATTAGTGGTTAGCAATGATGTAAAGCATAAGTCACGCGCAGTGAAAAGGCTAGCGCTGAAGTCATATAAGCGTGGCATAATAGCTGCTCCTGGCGATTAAACGAGAAAAAAGTTCGATCCGTGGTAGCTTTCATGCGGCCTCTGCGCATGGCTATAAAAAGATTAATATGTACAAAAAAGAAAGGAACTACTTATAAACATTAGAGACTAAATTTAATAAATAAATAAAATATGTATACAAATATCAACATGGAAAAATTTATAAAAAGTATAAAAAATTAATTAAATATTAATTTTAAATTTTTAATAATTAGTATAGTAAATAATATTAAATAAAATACTGATAAATTTGTATAAAGTATAATTAAAAAAAGCAAATTATCAACTTTACAATAATATAAAAA